TTAAATGGGCCTGTGGCCAGTTTCCAGCAGCATGCTTTCCAGCAGGACTTTGATACTGTTGTCTACATATGGTTGATATAGCCAACAAGACAGATAGACCATCATCAGGTCCTGGTCCGCAGTGTGCGCGATTTCACCAACAATTGTGCGCTTAAGTGCCATTTCCTTCTTGTACATGTCCGACATTCTCTGCGAGGTTTCATCTGAAAAATAAAACAGGATTGACTGGCTTACAATGATAACAGTGAGATGTCACCAGTGACAGGACTGCTGGTGGGATATGGCCCTGAGCAATTCTACCCAACAGTATTCCCTCCAAACAATTCCTGTTAAACTGACCAGAGCTACTACTACAGTTCTTATCTGGGAAAAAGCAATACAGCTGTCAATGCTAGATTCCTGGCTACCATACTGATCCAATGAACTCTGAATGAATTGCTGACATGGAGCAGGAATGCAAGTCAGGAATTATGACTTAACCACCTTCTTTGTATATAAACGGCCGGACGGTGGCAGTGCAGGGTTGGCTGGCCGTTTATAAGCGGCCTCCCTGCTTGTGCGCGCTCCCTGGGAGCGTGCAGCACCGCGATCCGGTGCCCGCTGTGTCCTCCGGACACAGTGGAACACCGATCGTCGTACGGGACTTCTATGCGAGGTCCCGATCATGTGATCACTGATTGGCCAATCAGTGATCACATGCAGAGTAGTAAGCAAGATGTCACTTCTGACAATATTGCTTACTACGTGTGAAATCTGTGAATGATCAGAGATCACGATACAAGGCTATTCACAACAGCCTTGTACCATGTGACAAGCTGTGACCAATCACAGTTCACACAGCAGTTCTCAATGGCTGCAAGAATGCAGCCAGAGAGGAGAAATGATTGCTTTTACAGCCTTTATGGATGTAAAAGCAATCAGTGTAAAAAAAAAAAAAAATCACCCCCACAAGTAGTACAGTGTCACCATGGTGACACTATACTGCTAGGGTGACAGTATGTAAAAACAAAAAAAAACAAAAAACAAATAAAAAAAAATAAAAATGTAAAAAAAAAATGTTTAAAAAATTATAATTTTTGGTTATAAACTAATTTGGGTTTTTTTTTGCTAAAAAGATAACGGAATACATTTTGGCCAAGATTTATGCTGAAATATTATTTGGTTGCAAAATTGTGTAAGAAAAACCCTTTTTTTTCAAAATTTTTGGACTTTTTCATTTACATAGCAAAAAAAAAAATAAAAGCCCAGTGGTAAATAAATACCACCAAAATAAAGCTTTACCTGTCTCAAAAAAATGATAAAAGAATTCATATGGCTACAGTGTTGCATGACTGCACAATTGTCATTCAAAGTGTAATAGCACTGAAAGCTGAAAATTGGCCTGGACAGGAAGGGGGTAAAAGTGTCCGGACTTGAAGCGGTTAACTGGCAACATGCTTGTTCTGGGCCGGTGTATCCGAAAGTACTGAAGCCAGAGACAGCCAGGCTACTAACACTTTCAGGAGGTGGCCTGCTGTCCATTTTTCATACCAAATGAGTACAATGTCCTTCCTCTTGTGTCTTCGTTGGATCTTGATCTATGCCTTTCCTGCCCTGAACTCTGCTTTGCAGGATTGGGACGGTGGGCATTCTGGTAGTCCTCCTAAGCCAGGTTGTCCCAAGACAGTGTAGTATGCAACCTAGACTTCTCGCAGATGTCTGCCAGAATGGCTGGATCTACTACCAAGCACCGATTTACTACCTTGCCAGGAATTCCACTTTGTACAAGGTCAGTTATTGGATGTGGAAAGCGTACTGTGCTTGGTGTGAGCTCAGAGGCTTTCACTCTAGAACTTCTGTTGGGACAGATCCTTTCCTTCTTCAGTTAGGTCCAGACCATCGTTTGGCATTTGTTACCATCAAGGGCCAGATCTCTATTATTGCCATTTTTAAGAGACCATTGGATTCCCATTCTCTGATGGGCAGCACAGTGGCTTAGTCGCTAGAACTTCTGCCTTGCATTATTTGGGTCATGGGTTCAGATCCCAATCATGACATCTCCTGCATGGAGTTTGCATGTTCTCCCTGTGCTTGCGTGGGTTTTCTCTAGGTACTCCTGTTTCCTCCCACACTCCAAAGACATGCTGGTAGGTTAATTGGCTCCTGTCTAAATTGCCCCTAGTAGGAACCTTAGGCTCCATGTACACTGCAGCTGATAAACTCACATTTAGGAGCTTTTCTGCGGTTTTTTTTTTTCCAGAAGCCCCTGAACTCTCCCTAATGTGTCCATGTACACATATTCGTTTACAGGCACCAAACGTGCGTTCAGGAGTAGATTTTATTAGCGTTTCAAACACCAAATGCTTGTAAACACGGCCAACCGTGTTTATTAGCGTTTGTGTTTGGAAATTTTTTTTAACTCTTCCATTTTCAGATGCTGTCCAGAGCCTTTTGAAAAAGGAATGCAAAGCGTTTTTCTGGTACTCAAATGGACCCGGTACACCATACTTTGAGGTTTCGCATGAAAAAAACATATGTTAGACACTGCTGCCATAATTTCTGCACAGAAATGAGCTGGAACACATCCAAACACCACCAAAAAAAAAGCTAATCTCAACACATACTGCTCTCTCTGCTTCTGCTCTCTTTATTTCTCTCAAAATGTCTGAAATAGTAAATTTTTTTACTGTTTTTCAGTGCATTCTGGGCATTTTGGAAGGTCTCCTGAGGTTATCTTTAAAAAAGCTTCTAAACGCAAACGCGCATAAACGAGGTATGCAAACGCAACTAAAACAGACGTTTTTTAACCTACGTTTTCCAGCATTCAGTTTCCATCATTCAAGTGTTTTCCAAACGTCCCGTGTACATGGAGCCTGTAATTGTCAGCACTTAATGATAACTTAGCAGTACAACTGTAAGTGTAAAAATTGATTAAGTAATGGTAACCATGAAGACTTTTGTGCAAAGGGTCTCTTATGTGGCTCCCCCAGTCAAATCACCTTTACCTATGTGGCATTCAAACTTGATCCTTTTAATGCTTCAGAAGCTCCTGTTTGACCCCGTCGGAGACATAACTTTCTCTGCCTTGACTCACAAGTTACTTTTCCTTTTTGCTGTCACCTTGGCTAGACGAGTGTCTGAAGTGGCAGCTTCATTGTGCAAGAAACATATTGTAAAGCGCTGAGCAAACTGTTGGCGCTATAGAAATCCTATATAATAATAATAATAAGGAACCAGCCTACCCAGCCACATCACTCATTCACAGTATTCTGTGAAGGGGAAAGCTACAAGTTTCCACAGCCTTTGTGGCTGTCGGCTTGTAGTTCTCAATGAACTACCACGGCACTGTTGAGCGTTGCGGTAGTTCATTGATTCTTCCTTTCATTGTGTATCTGCTGGCCTGTATGAGGTACGAACACACAGATAAAGGTCTGCAGGAGTCGTGCATGGCACCAGCCATCTGATTGCTGGTGCAATGCTTTCCAGGCTTCCACAACAAAAAGAAGCAAATACACATTTTTTTTACCTGCAAAAAAAAAAAAATGCATTTATTATTTTTTGTTAAAAGGTGAACTTCTCCTTTAACTGATGCTGAAAACACTGACAGACAAACAAAAGAATGAAGAAAACCATGTAAAAAGCAATACAGTAGGAACATATTGCTCACAGAAAAGTGAAGTAGGCCATGTATGGAATAGTACAGGACAAGGTGTTTCACCACGGCACTGAAAAGCCTCCAGATCGCACACTCCTTTAAATGTCGACGTCAGTTTTTCCATCTTCATTTGTATTTGTTGCTGAGGGTTCAAAAATGGTTGAAATCATTTGGAAGCATTGAGAGAAAAACGAACATATAGATTAATGTCAGCTACATAGGCATCTTTACTCAAAGCTTAAAAGAGAAGTAAGACCAAATCATTTTTGGCCATACTTCTTTTCTGGGCCCTAGGAGTGCGCTTAGTTTTGCACTCTTGTGACTCAGGCTGATAGCGTATTATAGTCAGCTATCAGCTTACATGGCAGAGCTGCCCCAGGCTCTGGAAGGATTCTGACAATATTGTCAGGATCCACCCAGCCGTCTGAATGACAGCTGGCTCCACCTCTCAGCACGAAGCTGGAACCAATTGCGCTCACCCACTCTCCAGCCCCACACCCCAGTGAGCATTGAGAGGCCGAGCAGAGAGCGGTGACTGACAGTCACTACTCTCTTTCCGAGCAGACGGAAAACTGAGCGATCAACGGTCATCTGATCGCTCAGTTCTCAGGCTTAGAGGGTGAACTCGTTTATGCTGAGCACTGTATCTGCCAGGGTTAAAGGAAAAGTTTAGGGTATATAAAAAATAAACATGCATACTCAACTTAATGGTGCGATGCTGCAGCTGCCTCACATTGGCTCTAAGCCTGAGAACTGAGCGATCAGATGACCGTTGATACTAAACTGCTCCTTTAACCCCTGGCAGATACAGTGCTCAGCATAAATGAGTACACCCCAACAGATTTGTCAGAAAAGCTTTACTTTCCTCCTCAGAATCAACATTTTCTATGGGACACTATACTACAAAATACTCCCACAAATGTGGGCCATTGATTGCAAACAAGATTTGTTCATTTGCACGCACAAAAAATATTTTTCCTAACAAATTCATTCAAGACCATGTTGCAAAAATGAATACACCCCAATGAAAGTCTTAGGAGAAGAGCTATATTTTAGACAACAAAATCCTAGTTAATAAGAATTCAACTACAGGTAAGTCTAATTATTCAGTAATCAGGTGTCCAGCAGACAGGTGATTATAATAGGGCGTTAAAGAAAACCCCTCCCATTTCATGCTGTCAGCAATGGCACCACATGGAAGAGAAATGTCACAAGGTCTGAGAAAGAAAATAATTTCTTTACACAAGAAAGGTGAAGGCTACAAGAAGATCAGCAAAGCTTTACTTATCAGTCAGAATACTGTAGCAAAAATTATACAAAAATTTAACAAAGATGGAACTGCAACCATCTCACAGAGACGTCTAGGCCATCCACAGAAGTTAACACTTCGACAGGAGCATTTTCTGAAGGGTTGAAGAAAATCATCATGCAAGTTCACTGCAGTTAGCTAAAGAAGTAGAAAGCCAGAGGGTGATTGCTTCTCGTGACACAATACGGCGTACACTGCAGAGGAATAACAGGCATGGATGTCGTCCTCCAGAAACTTCTCCTAAAGCCCATGCACAAAAAAGCCTGCCTAGAATTTGTCAGAGCCTATGCTGAAAAAGAAGACTACTGGAACTCTGTAGTCTGGAGTGATGATACCAAGATAAATGTTTTTGGAACTGATGGCTTCAACATTATATGGCGTCGCAAAGGTGAGGAGTACAAAGAAAAATGCATGGTGCCTACTGTGAAACATGGTGGTGGCAGTGTCCTTCTGTGGGGCTGCATGAGAACTGCTGGTGTTGGGGAGCTGCATTTCATGGATAGTATCATGAATTCACAGATGTACTGCCATATATTGAAAGAGAAGATGCTACCATCACACCGCGCCTTTGGTCGTCGTGCACTTTTCCAACATGACAATGATCCAAAACACACATCTAAGGCCACTGTTGCATTTCTGAAGAAGAACCGGAGAAAGGGATTCAGTGGCCAAGTATCTCTCCTACTCTGAACCCAATCCAAACACCTATGGGGAATTTGAAAAGACAAGTTGAGCATCACTTTCCATCCAGCATCCAGGCTCTAAAAGAGATCGTTCTTGAAGAATGGAAAAAGATGGATGTTGCACTATGGCACCAACTTGTTCGTTCCATGCCTAGAAGACTTGGTGCCATCCTTACAAATCATGGAGGTCATACAAAATACTAGATAGAGTAGTTTTTGTTGTGGGGTGGATTCATTTTTGCATCAACTAATTTAAGTAAAATTGAAGATTTTGTAATCTAAGTGATATTATTAACCTTTCTTTCATGTAATCAGCTAAACAAATGTTCTATAAAACTCAGTTTTGTCATCATTTTGGAAATTTTTCTTACGTTCATTGAGATATTGATTAAAATCTTACATTTCAAAAGGCGTGTACTCATTTATGCTGAGCACTGTATATAAAAAACACCATAAAAGAGCAGTTAGACATTCAAAAAATAAAGAAAAAACATGAAATCTATTTTAACCCCTTGCCTACAGGGCACTTATACCCCCTTCCTGCCCAGGCCAATTTCCAGCTTTCAGCGCTATCACACTTTGAATGACAATTGCGCGGTCATGCAACACTGTACCCATATGAGATTTTTATCATTTTTTTTGAGACAGATAGAGCTTTCTTTTAGTGCTATTTAATCACCTCTGGGATTTTTATTTTTTCTTAAACAAACCAAAAACCGCTGAAAATTTTGAAAAAACTTTTTTTTAGTTTTTGTTATACAATTTTGTAAATAAGTGATTTTTCTCCTTCACTGATGTGCGCTAATGAGGCTGCACTGATGGACACTGATAGGTGGCACTGATGGACACTGATAGGTGGCACTGATGGGCACTGATGAGGAGGCACTGGTAAGTTGCACTGATAGGCATTGACAGGCATCACTGATGGGCACTGAAAGGCAGCACTGATACATGACACTGATATATGGCACTGATGCACACTGATAGGCGACACTGACTGGCACTGATAGGTGGCACTGATTGGCATTGATAGGTGGCACTGACTGGCACTGATGGGTGACATTGAAAGGCAGCTCAGATGGGCACTGATATGTGGCATTGATGTGCACTGGTATGCACTGATATGTGGCATCGATGTGGCACTGGCAGGTGGCATTGATGGGCACTGACAGGTGGCACTTCTGGGGCCACACTGATCATCAGTGCCCTGATGATCAGTGTACATGTCCCCTCCTCCTCGGAAAGCCGATTATCGTCTCTCCTCTCCTCTCGAGCTGTCAGCGTGACAGCTCGAGAGGAGAGAAATGCCGATAACCGGCATTTCCGTGTTTACATGTGATCAGCTGTGACTGGACACAGCTGATCACATGACCGAACCGACATCTTCGGCTCTTTCCGTGATCCGCTGTGTCCGAGGGACACAGCGCACCGGTGATCGCTGCACTGCGCACTCCCTGAGCCGCGCATGCGCAGTGAGAATGGAAGGACGTCATATGACGTCCTATCAGAACGAGAGAACCACCTTGCGCCTGTCATTGTACTATAGGGCGGGCGGAAGGTGGTTAAAGTGGTAGCAAACTCTTGTTGTTTATATTTACCTACAGGTGAGCTTATAATAAACCCTACCAGTTGGTAAAATGAATATCTCCTAAACTTGCACTGTTTAGGAGATATCCTAGTGAGCAGTGAGTAAGACTCCCACGAGTGACATCATTGTGGATTGGCCATTCGAGTGGTCACAGCCCGCAAACCCAGAAGGAAGACCTGGAGAAGACGGAAGCAGGGGCGGACTGACAACTCATGGGGCCCCCGGGCAATAGGGGATCATGGGGCCCATGTCCTTGCCCAAACTCAAAAAAGCCTATGAAAAAATTACCAGGGGCATCTCATGGGGCCCCCTACTGACCCCGGGCCCTCGGGCAGTGCCCAAGTTTCCAAGTGGTCAGTCCACCCCTAGACGGAAGGCTCTGCAGCAGTGACAGCGCACCTCTGGAGGGCTTCATTTTAAGGCAAGTCCTTTATAATGGGCCAGTGTGCGATGCATATTAGCACATTATGCATTTGGCTTGCAGGAGGAAACATTTTTTTTTTTTTTCAAAGACTTTATTACCGCTTTAAATGCTTTTATTGCAAACACCTAAATCAATCTCCCACTCTCCTGTGCCACTGAACTGGGAGAGGGAGGCTTATTACAGACAACATTAGACAATACTGCATGCATATATGCTAAGGGGCAGCACAGTGGCTAAATGGTCAGCACTTCCGCCTGGTAGTACTGGGGTTGTTGGTTTGAATCCCAGCCTCGGCACCACCTGCCTGGAGTTTGCATGTTCTCCCTGTGCCTGCGTGGGTTTCCTCCGGGTACTCCGGTTTCCACCCACACTCCAAAGACATGCTGGTAGGTGAATTGGCTCCTGTCTAAATTGTCCCTAGTATGTGTATGTATGAATGTGAGTTAGGGACCTTAGATTGTACGCCCCTTGAGGGTTAGGGACCTTAGATTGTACGCCCCTTGAGGGTTAGGGACCTTAGATTGTACGCCCCTTGAGGGTTGGGGACCTTAGATTGTACACCCCTTGAGGGTTGGGGACTGATGTGAATGTACAATATATATGTAAAGTGCTGTGTAAACTGACAGCGCTATATAAGTACCTGAAATAAATAAAATAAATAAAGAGTGAGCACAGATCTCATCAATCTTCTGTGGCTCCGTCACTGTCCAATCCCAGACTGGGAAGGTGACTTTGCTGTATTGCTTAACCACAGTTCCGTAATCAATGTTCCTTGTTATAGTGGAGACACTGAGGGTGCTAAGTGTGAGGCTCCTGCTGCAGTCAATTTGAAAGAGGGAGCAGGGGTGTGGCTTGTCAGGCACTGTGTGTGTCTATGGATGCACACAGCTTGGCTCAGGAACATGACAGGAGCACACACACAGGTGTCTCCTTAGCACCAAGCAAGGGAAGAAGAGGACAGGAGAAGGAGTAAAGGAAAAGGAATATACATAATAGGTGAGTTTGGACCTCCTATGCTTTCTAAAAAAAGGGTTTTTTGCGATTTTTGTTGCAAGTATTGTAATACGAGTCTATGTGTACCTGTGTTTACTGATAGGAAGTGAGTGAGCCAACCCCTTCAACATGAACCCAAATATGAGTTTTCAATGATTATGAAGCACATACATACCATACTTTCCAGTATGTCCACCAGTTCTGAGCACATCCTTTCCAGCTCCTCTTTATCCTTAACATTCTGGTTACCAGGTAAAGTATCATCTGCTAACATCTTCTCATAAGATCTACAAGAAAAACATGTAGAAGACTGATGGATATTTATGTATATAAATGCAGGTGAGGATTCCTCACTATTAACCCTTCACTGTATGTGAGGAGGCAGCTTGCAGCAGGGACACTAAGCACCTAAAGAGAGGACTCGTCACCAGACTAGTTGCATGGAGCAGACAGTCCCATGCATCCCAATTGACATGAATGGGACTGCCTACACACACATGCATGGAACACGTGTACATCACCGTGTGGGCAAACATGGTCCTTGCATGGGCGTATGCTTAAAGCGGTTGTGAACCTCTGACATGAAATATGAACAAAGCATATCCCTCTATAGTGTGTACTTGTCTTAGTCCAGAGCACTAAGTGTCATTTCTGTCTGCTTCCCTCTTCTGCAGCTATCTGCATGAGTCACTTCTGACAAGTTTTCCTGACACCAAGAGCTAAAAAGGTGACAGAGGAGAGATCTCCAGCACACAGAACCATGATTGACAGCCTCAGCTCTGTTCCTGTGTGCTGTGTGAAGGGGGGCGTTTCCTATTCCTCCAATCAGCTCTCAATGAGCTTTGCAGAGCGTAACTTTAGCTCCCCGCTCCCTACTTTCTGAAATCTCAAACAAGCTGTATACTATAAATTCTGCACTTTGAAAGACTGCACAGAAGAAAGGGCTGCAAATAAACAGGTACAGCTTTTGCAGGAGGATTTGTTTCATCTCAGTGTATCACCTGAGGCCAGTCATTTCACTGGGTATATGCAAGGGCTTAAAACCACTTTAACCACTTGCTGCCCTGCCACAGTACAGTTATTGCGGCAAGGCGGCATGTATTTATATGTAATTGAGCCTGCTCAGATGTAGGAGCGAGCAGCATGTCCCCTACTGTGACTGCTTTATCCACTGGACACAGCAGATCACTGTTACTGGTAACTGGGTATCATGTGATCGCTATGATTGGTCAAAGCGATCACATGATGACAAATGTAAATCAAATGTTGTGCTGAACGGGCGGAGGGGGCGAGGCCGAGCCGCCCGTTCTCTGTCAATGGATACAGACAGGGTGGTTCGGGGGCGAGCCTGCACGAGTGCCTCCATGGAAAGCAGCTTTCTGCAGGGGCACCTGCCGAAGAGAAGCTTGGAGCGCCAGAGGGGTTCCACAGAAAAGGATCGGGGCTGCCCTGTGCAAAACCACTGCACACAGCAGGTAAGTACTCTATGTTTGTTATTGTAATTTTAAAAGAAAGGAAGCTTTAGTGTCGTTTAAGTAAGATTGTGTCAACGAGGTCCTAGACTGAACTTGCTTACGACACTTACAGGTTGCTTATTCTCAAATTGACGATCTTGCTCGCCACCCCAAACGCACTGTCATTAAGGTTCTCCCACTTCAGCATCACGTTGTGCCAATCCGCAGCATTGTCCTTGACCTTCCTGGTGCTGCCTGTTAAAACGGTCTTCTTAGGTGTCACACAGCCGGGGCTTTTACCTGCAGATGAGAAATATACAAAAAACGGTTACTAGTGAACAATCAACCAGCCAAACAAATCCAATGTTTAATATGGTGCTCAGCTTTAGAAAGGACATGCCCTTTAAAGCGATTCTAAAGGTTCATTGTTTTGTGTGAGTAAAATAGCAAACATGTCTATACTTACCTGCTGTGTGCAGTCGTTTTTCACAAAGCAACCCAGATCTTAATCTTCTCGGGTCCTCGGCAGGCTCTCCTGTCTGTCGGGTGCCCCCATAGCAAGCAGCATGCTATGGGGGCACCCACTGCTCCATGTGTCCATTTGCACGCAGAGCCGAGGCTTTGCCCCGCCCCCTCTCTCCTCGTTGGCTGACTGGCTGTGTGTGCCAATGGCTCCTGCTTCTGTCTCAGCCAATGCGGAGGCAAAGACCTGGGACAGCCAAGGCTGTCATTCACATCGCTGGATCACGACGGGGCTCAGGTAAATGAGTAAAATAGCAAAACATGTCTATACTTACCTGCTGTGTGCAGTGGTTTTACACAGAGCAACCCAGATTCTCCTCTACTCGGGTCCCTGGCAGACTCTCCTGTCTGTCGGGTGTCCCCATAGCAAGCAGCATGCTATGGGGGTACCCGCTGCTCCATATGTCCATTCACATGAGGAGCCAAGGCTTTGCCCCGTCCCCTATCCCTTCATTGGCTGACTGGCTGTGTGTGCCAATGGCTCCCGCTTCTGTCTCAGCCAATGAGGAGACAGAGACCTGGGACAACCAAGGCTGTCATTCACATCGCTGGATCACGATGGGGCTCAGGTAAGTACTGAGGGGGCTGGGGGCACTGCTGCGCACAAAAAGTTTCAACCTTCAGCCTTTACAACCACTTTAAATTCCAGTTCAGGGAATAGGAAAGAGTCATCAACCCTTCTGTCTGCGTCCCATTGGATCCACCTTCTTTAATGGCCATGCATGCTTTGATAAATGATCGATTTATTTTCTGATTGATCTCTTCCGATTGGAATAATCAATCGACATTCGACAACATATTCAATTGATAAGCAACACACAGGGAAGTGGATTTTGATGAATGACAAGCTGTATGATCATAACGCACAATAATCATCGATCGCATCTTTGTTATCTGATCGCTCAAAATATGAACGTATTCATGAGCAAAATATCTCAGTGCTGCCGATCAATGCAAAGCGATCGTTAGTTTTCTGCTCCAACCCAGGCGTCCTTTTATCATGTGGCGGTAAATGACTGCTGCTCAGCTCTCCGGCATTCTCAGAGGAGAGAGTTCTCTCCTGAATGCCTTTTTATGAAGCGGTGTACAGTTGCAAGAAAAAGTATGTGAACCCCTTGTGATTACGTGGAGTTTTGCATGAATTGGGCATAAAATGTGCTCTGAACGTCATCTAAGTCACAACAATAGAAGAACACAGTCTGCTGAACATAATACTACACAAACATTAGATGTTGCCATGATTTAATTGCACATACATGTAAACATTCACAGTGCAGGGAGGAAAAAGTATGTGAACCTTTGAACCTAATAACTGGTTGACCCTCCTTTGGCCGCAATAACCTCAACCAAACGTTTCCTGTAGTTGCAGATCAGACCTGCACAATGATCTGGAGTCATTTTGGACCACTCCTCTTCACAAAACTGTTTCAGTGTAGCAATATTCTTGGGATGTCTGGTGTGAATCGCTCTCTTAAGGTCATGCCACAGCATTTCAATCGGGTTGAGGTCAGGACTCTGCCTGGGCCACTCCAGAAGGCGTATTCTGTGTTGTTGCAGCCATTGTTTTGTTGAATTACTTGTATGCTTTGGGTCATTGTCCTGTTGCATCACCCATCCTCTGCGGAGCTTCAGTTGGCGGACAGATGGTCGTACGTTTTCCTGCAAAATGTCTTGATAAACTCTGGAATTCATTTTCCCATCAATGACAACAATCCGTCCAGGCCCTGAGGCAGCAAAGCAGCCCAAAACCATGATGCTCCCTCCGCCATGTTTCACAGTGGGGATGAGGTTTTGATGTTGGTGTGCTGTGCCTTTTTTTTCTCCACACATAGTGTTGTGTGTTCTTCCCAAACAACTCAATCTTGGTTTCATCTGTCCATAGTATATTTTGCCAGTAGTGCTGTGGAACATCCAGGTGCTCTTTTGCAAACTTCAAACGTGCTGCAATATTCTTTTTGGACAGCAATGGCTTCCTCCGTGGTGTCCTCCCATGTTCTCCATTCTTGTTTAATGTTTTCCTTATTGTAGATGTGTCAACAAAAATGTTAGCATGTGCCAGAGATTTCTGTAGGTCTTTAGCTGACACTCTGGGATTCTTCTTTACCTCATGCAGCATTCTGCGCTGTGCTCTTGCAGTCATTTTTACAGGACGACCACGCCTAGGGAGAGTAGCAACAGTGCTAAACTTTCTCCATTTGTAGACAGTCTGTCTTACCGTGGACACATGAACATCAAGGCTTTTGGAGATACTTTTGTAACCCTTTCCAGCTTCATGCAAGTCAGCAATTCTTGATCGTAGGTCTTCTGAGAGCTCTTTTCTGCGAGTCATGGTTCACATCAGATAGTGCTTCTTGAAACCAGTAAACCCAAAACAGGTGTGTGCTTTTTAAGGGCAGGACAGCTGTCAGCAACACATCCAATATCATCACACTGATTGGAGTCAAGGTTGGCTCACTCCTGGCTCCAATTAGCTCTGGGAGAAGTCATTAAGCTAGGGCCTCACATACTTTTTCCTCCCTGCACTGTGAATGTTTACATGTTATGTGCAATTAAACCATGGCAACATCTAATGTTTGTGTAGTATTATGTTCAGCAGACTGTGTTCTTCTATTGTTGTGACTTAGATGACGTTCAGAGCACATATTATGCCCAATTCATGCAAAACTCCACGTAATCCCAAGGGGTTCACATACTTTTTCTTGCAACTGTAGATCACGTCTCCGAACGAAGGGAGAAGCGATCTACAAATGCTTTGAACGCTGGAAAACGGCTGCTGTTACTATAATCTCGCGAGATTACAATAAGAGATCAGCCAAACACCGTTTACTAAGCAGCAGTAAATTATCGCTGCTTTGTTTGCGGATCCTCCAGCTCTGGGCTGAAGAATCTGGAGGGAGAACACAGTTCACCAGTGAAGGGCTGACATTGCTCCTTCATACACTGGCAGTCTGTGTGCTGAGATGATCAGAGGAGAACATGTTGGTATGTTCTATAACAGAAAATAGAATATATAGTTTTCATTTATATAATAAAAAACCCAGTGATGAACACCCTATTTGTGTGAAAAGAAATGATATAAATTTTATTTTGGGTACAGCGTTGCATGACCGTGCAACTACCAGTTAAAGTAGCGCAGTGGAGAATAGAAAAAAAAAAAGCCTTGGTCATGAAAGTTTGAGCCTTGTTCACATGCCACGGTTGCAATGCTTTTGCTTTTTGTCTGCAGCAAAAAAAAGATCACCCTTGACATGTTCAACAACAGGCCGTACTGGCGTCCAATGTGACCCAGTTATGTGAATGGGGACACACCGCTAACTCCTCCACATGGTGCAGCATTTACAGGGTTAAAACCCTCCTCCTCCTCACTATCAAACGGTTGTAAAAGGCAATCCAAACAAGGTTTGCTTTTTAGAGGCACTGCAATTTAGTCGTCTCTGTACATCTCTATGCAATGCAGGCAGATCATGGCTGGTGGGCGTGGGCACTGCACATAGCTTCCTGAAAACATCCCAGCACCCTACCCCTATGCTCCTCCCATGTGCTTTCAGCTCTGATGCAACAGTGGGAGGAGTTATGCAAATCTGAAAAAGCCTTGGTGTCAAGTCTGGAGGAGTGGGTGTTCTTCGGAAGAAGGAAACGCCCACATGTGATGCTGAGCCTCCATGATTGACAGAACTGAAGTCCAATGAATGAAAGGAGCCAGGGACAGTCAGGCTGAGGAGGAAAGCGCTTAGATGATGATGGGTGTCCGCCATCAAGGAAAAATTACACGGTGAGGAACTCACAGTGTGTTGCGAAATCAGAGGAAGCCATTCCAGTCCAGAAGAGTAGGCGGTAGAAGGCCGGAGGTCAGGTCTGATCTTGTCTGTGACCACTGGGGGAGATTGTCCCTCACTTCCTGTACTGTGACACCAGGATATGAAGAGGGAGGTTGTCACAGCCAGCAGTGAACAGATTGTTAGAAGGTCTGGAAACATGGGGACGTTCTGGTTGGAGTTGTCCTTTAATTCTCACGGTACAGTACATAGAAATCCATTATCTATAGAATTACCCAGAGCACGGCCAGCCTATGAGGGCCATGAACACCCCGACCCCCCCATACCCCGCACCCGGGTCACTTACTCTCCATGACAACGGCGTGAGCGCGGAACTTCACTGAATATGCGGCGTGGGCCGCCCACGTGACCCTCCACAACACACACGGCTTCCGCCTTCCGTACGGGGACAGGAAGTGCGCTAAGGGCAGGGCCGCCCCGGATTGGTCGGTGTTGCTCTGTGTTTTGATTGTCTGTAGGTGGGGGTTGTATTTTAGCTGCGTCAAGGGAGGGGGGCTGCGAGCTGTGAGAGAGGCGGATTGGCCCCACCTGAGGAGCCACCGACGGAGCGGGTGAGACCGGGCTGTCCGTACCGGGCCGTGGAGTCTGGGCACGGCTGTGTCATACATTATATATACCGAGCCTGTGTACAGGGGCGCGAGGAGAGCCACCTGTGTGTCATCATCATCTTCCTCTTCCCTGTACTGTGTGTGAGAGCATAGACACTACAGGGGGCACCCATAGGAAGGCTTCCATCATCATCCTCATCCTCCTCCCTGTACAGTGTGTGAGAGCGTAGACACTACAGGGGGCACCCATAGGAAGGCTTCCATCATCATCCTCATCCTCCTCCCTGTACAGTGTGTGAGAGCGTAGACACTACAGGGGGCACCCATAGGAAGGCTTCCATCATCCTCCTCCCTGTACTGTGTGTGAGAGCATAGACACACTACAGGGGGCACCCATAGGA